CCCCCCCCCCCAACAAAAAAAATACCCAGCCAGTGTGCAGAAAGAGGACAAAATCCTAGTTCACGTTTGTCCTCATTTGTGTAAAAGAAAGTCATGTATGGATAATTCTGAAACTGAATAACTGGGAGTTTACTGTACACATATTTTCCAGAAATGGTAGGGAAATTGATGGAACTGAAAAAACATGTAAGTCCTGGGAATGCAAATACAGGGTTTTACTGTAATGCCCTTCTGCTTTGATACATTCAATATGTTTTGCAGAATGACATTTTTAATGCATTTTCCTAGTTAATGGTGATTTGATTCCTGGTCTCATAAACCTTGTACTAAATGTCTTCAGTATTTAATTTTGTGATAAAAACTTTATTTCTAGGAACGCAGCCCTCCGCTTGTGGAAGACTTCCTCTATATATGTGATGGTGCATATAACCGCAGTGAACTAATAAAGATGGAAATTGATGTTCTAAAAGCTGTTGATTTTAATCTTGGGATTCCTCTGTCTTACAGGTTTCTACGCCGATATGCCAGGGTAAGACCACCTCTATTGATAATCCTATTATTTTAAAATCTTTTTGAAAATTGAATAAATGCCACTTTATAACATTATGTTGTTACAAAACTAAAGTCACTGTGTTTGCTTGTTTACAGGGTGCTAAAATTTCTTTGCCAACACTGACACTGGCACGATATATTCTAGAGTTATCACTTATGGAATATAGTTTTGTGTCAGAGTCAAGCTCCAAGCTGGCAGCTGCAACATTATTGTTAGCACTGAAGACCAAACTTCTGGGTGGCTGGACACCAGCACTGCAGTATTATTCAGGTGTGATCTTTATTCTTGCATATGGAAATAATGAACTATTCCTGCAGAACACATATTGGTATGCATCTCATTCCAGAAACCAGATGTTTTGACTGAAGTTTTTCATTATTTCCCTCAGTCATTTTAGAAAAATGCCAGGATAGTACTGTAAGTTAGGCAACAACTGTTCCCTTCCAAATCCATTTAATTGCAGAGGATCCCCATATTTACAACTTCCTGGGGACTGATAACAATTATAATATATGCAAGTATAAGCTTAGGTACTTTATTTCAAGTATATTATTAAGCAGTGTATTGAAATAGGAATTCCACTCACTCAACTGCGATGTTCAGGTCTCGTCTTTAAAATTGGCCGTATGTAAAGAATGTTACCAACTGCATCAGACGGAGTATAAAATACACTGCCTCCCCTATTTTCAAAGTTAAACATAGTTGTGCATGACAAACAACTTTGCATAGGACTTACTGTCAGATTTTGTCTTGTGTTATGCATAAATTTAATTGTAGTGTGGTATTTTACAGGTTATAAGTTAGAAGATATTAAGGACCTTGCGCACCAGCTGAATGCAATGCTTCAGAAAAAGCCAAAGGCACCTCTGGAAACTGTTAGAAATAAATATTCCCACAAGTATGTATTCGTCTTTCAGTTTGTTGTTATACCAAGAAAAGCAGCATGCTTTTAGAAGTTACTGTTCATGACTGTAATCTTGAGACTTGCAAGGAATGCAGGAAGTCCAAAGCATTAAAGGCAGATGCTATCTTTCCTTTCTCGTTCACCCCACTTCCTCACCCCGCAAGTCTCAATATTACAGTCACGAACTGTACTTATTGAAAATTACATTTTAAATACTGTGATACTGAAGGGGTTTTTTTAAGGTGGGGGGATCCTTTATTTCTTTGGGTTATGGGACAACATTTTTAAATGCATATTAGTTGCCAAAACCACATGTCCATGTGCAAGTACTATTACACAGCCGTGGAAAGGTGTGCATTAATGACAGTTCTTTATGTTGAGATTTTAGGTTCTCATGGCAGCAAGTATGAAGATGTCTTCTAGGATGTTGTGCCACATAGTCTGGTAGAACATTACCTCTGGAATGTTGGTGTATTTGTACCAGACTACTCAGTGCAGCATCCCAGAAGATAGTCATTTTCTCATTCTTTATGATTAAATGTTCATATCAAATTGGTATAAAATAACATTTAAAGGGCTTAAGCATGTATCAGTTTTGTGTATGTTCCATTTTTGAGAAATCAGTTTGAACCATGCGTAAAAAAGAGGCTGATGTGAATCTGTTGAAGAACTTTTAGTGTAGGTCCCAACACCAAATTTAATTGAATCCATCACATAAACAAGCACACACTATCTCTCCATTATGTATTTATTTCATACACTGCAAAAAAGAACTGATATTATGCTTTAGAATTAATGTGGATACAATGTAAATTACAGTTGCATACTTTGTTTTGTGCTTTCAATTATTTTCTTTTCTACAGGATATTCTTTGAAGTTGCCAAGATTCCTCTTCTGGATAAGTTGGACATCTAAAATTCATAGTTTTCTCTGAGAAATTGACCAGCCTCAGGGTATGAAGAGTAAATGTGTAAAGATGTGCCAATACTGTATTAGTGCAATTTGGTAAAAATGACACATCTTATTCCAATTGTATTGACCTATGAGGTGGAGAACAATCTACAATACTTAAGTGTGAATCATACACTTGTTTAGATCTACATGTTTTATTGCCTTCGTGTATATACAGTTTTATAGGGAGACAACTCATTCATCATGAAAATAAGTTTAAGAACTATTTTTCAGCACAGTTAATGGACAGAAATGAGCAGCCAGCTGTATACAAGTCTGTCTGTTTAATACTGACAATTTATTTTGGCAATTATTTTAAAACTTAATTTTTTTCCATCCATCTTTTGTGTGCGTAATATTAAATGGGTGTTTTGTACGCTGGGCCACGTTTTAAAAAGTTTTAGAATGAAAATAGGATTTTATTAGGACTTGTATTTATTTCTTTTTGTGCAGGCATAATTTTGCAATTTGGAAATTTACTGCTGGGTATTCCCTTGCTTCAGAATGAAAATCTTTGTACATTATAAACAGGAGGGTGATTTTTAAACTATCTTTGTTATAGTTTTAATAACACTTGCATCATGAATGTTGAATTCAGTCAAAATTATGTGGAACCTTGTCTTAGAAAATGCTCCTTTAGGTAAGTTCTTAAAAGCTGCTAGAGTATGCTATTGTGTGCAAAATATAAAATGTGTGAGCAATAAATTGATAAGAGCATGTTACGATTATAAAGTATTTACATAGGTATTTTAAAAAATATATGTACATAGTAATTTCTTCGAAGTCTTTACAGCATTCTGTATATAGTTCAGCAGATTTGTAACACTACTGTGGTTATTGAAGGTAAATTGTCAAATGCAGTTATTAAAGCTGTCTGCAGCCATCAAAAATTCAAAGTGTACTAGATTTTATATGGAAGTGTATTCATGTTTCTAGAACTATAAGTAATTTCCATTTAATGAGTCAGCAAGCTACAGAACTTTTTTCTTGTCACTGCAGCTGTTGAGCTTTGAATTCAGTTATTCCCCTCTTTATTTTACTGTTTTATGTTTTAGTAGCAGAAATTTTAAAAAATGTATACAGTAAAAAAGACTTCTATTGATTGACAAATTAAATTCGTAATAAATAAAAAGCAATAAAACAAATTAATAATATGTATTTTTAATGGAGATCATGCCACTGGAGGACACCCTGGAACCAGAATATCATCACTTTATTTATCCTGTGTTGTATTTCATACAAGGGAAACTACAGAAGTTACAAGGTTCCTACAATGTGCAGTAGTCCCCGGTGGTCTAGCGGTTAGAACGCTGGCCTTGTAATCCTGGGGTCTCGGGTTCAATTCCCGGTGGTGCTCAAATTTATAACTTGTGTTGGGCAAGGCCGTGGTCTAGGCATCACACGGTGGTCTAGCGGTTAGAAGGCTGGCCTTGTAATCCTGGGGTCTCGGGTTCGATTCCCGGCGGTGCCCGAATTTATAACTTGTTTTGGGCAAGGCCGTGGTCTAGGCAACACGGGGTTTTCCTCCGTGGCATCCCCACAATTACTCCCTTCACACACAGAAGAAGGCAATGGCAACCCACTTCTGGATCATCTGCCAAGAACGTATATGAACAGGTCCCAGTCCGAGAAAAGGATGGAAGGATCCTGTTCATATGGACCTGTCGTCAGACAGAACACTACAAATAAAAACAACAATGTGCTTTGTTCTTAGCAAAGATTATTATCACAAAATTATCTTCATATAGTAAGGATAGTAATAAAGGCAGTGGAAAGGAGATTAGGAATGTCATAACAAAAAATGGAGTGAACACATTATCATGAAACATGTTATAAAAAGAGATACATAAAAGAAAACTTTTATTGTTACCCTTCACAGGCACGTTTTTTAAGTTAATATATTACAGTACATATTTAATTAACCTGACTGATTATACTGAATATCAGAACATGTAATGATGAAATGTAGACATTTTCTGTTCTTCATGTCACCTGCAGACAATATTATGGCCACTGTTTAAAATTTTTAGTGCTGAACATACATTCAAAGCATCAATTTTCTTAAATTCTTATCTGTATCACAAATGTAGTGCAAGGTGTGGAATACAAATGGGAGTAACAAACTAATATCCTTCTCCAGATCAGAAAACCACTGTTCCTCTATAACTTTACTATTCATGAGCTGGGTTTGAATGTGACATTTGAGAGCTACCCATTTCTGTAGAATCACCCATTTGCATAATAGTTCAGATTGAATAACTGAAGTAAGAATCTGACATCTGTGGAAGAGTTACAGAACCTTTTAGTGGTACAGTAGCACTACTATGTCTCTCTGGAAAAGTAAATTTTGTCTGAAAATCAGGCTTATTCAAAACCTTAGAGATCCTCTCTTCATTCTTAAAATATGTCTATGTTGGTGTTCTAGGTGTAATACCATTTGCAATTGTAGGTAGATACCAACATTTCAGAAGAATATACTGCCTCCATCTTCAAGGTTCCCCAGCCTGTCATCGCAGCCCAGAAGACCAACATGGACCCTAAACTCTCATTCTTAAAATGTGCCCATACCATCTTATTTAAAACATTTTAACATCTATCTCATAAAAGGGGCCAGTGTTGGGCTCTTGTGAACCCAGTAATGATCCTTCAGGTTCCATGACAGAAGATAAATTTTCTTAGCTAGCTTAATGACTATTGGTTTCTCAAGAACTGCACTGTATAGTTACACTAACAGACTTGTAATAACAACTTTAACTTTTTGCATTCAGAAAATGGAGTGCACATCTCATCTGCAGGTATGTAATATTTAAATAAATACATTACACTTCAATATTATACTGTGGAGATATCATACTATGTACTGTTTGCACCTGTAATCTTGAGACTTGCAAGGAATGCAGGAAGTCCAAAGCGTTAAAGGTTAGCGCTATCCTTCACCCGGCAAGTCTCAAGATTACAGTCGCAAACTATACAATTCATTGTCATCTTTCATAGGAACTAGGGGATGGATACCTCAACACTGTAGGACAGAGACTCTACACAGACACAATGTCTATGAATGTCACCTTAACCATTTCTTTTGTAACAAAAGTATATTGTTTATATCCATAGCATAAAATTTCAACTGTACAGCATGAGCTGTCAGGGATTATCTTTTACTTGCTTTCATATGATGCATATATTACACAATATGATCACAGACTTTCCTTACCTCATTGGCCCTATTATAGCACCACACTTTGTCCATCAGAAATATTATTTTATGTTCCATTTCCATGCTCTCAGCAAGTTCATGCTTTCTTTTTACATATAAAAAGGGATCTCACTTCAAGTTGTAATGCAAAACAAAATCAAATAGCTGCAGAAGAATTATCAGAACAATGTCCAGGTGTTATTTTCTGTCAGTGTTTGTGTGAGGCTTTACTTTGGCTAGTACGTCTTAATTTCACAATTTTACCTTTTCCCTTGAGAGTATTTTGGTGGTAAAGAGAAAAAAATAGGATTTTTTTAACTGAGAATTTTTCCTCTTGAGATTAATAAAAGCACTGAGATTAATGACAGTTAAGGAATGATGAAAAGACAGAATCCTACATTAACTGTTAGAGATGGAAAAGATAGTATGGTATGCAACAGAAGTGAGTCTTTGTTCTGCTTGCATAGGAAATTCAATTCACATTTATTCATGAAAATAATACCTTTGTATAAAGTTCCCTTGTCAAGGTTTTAGTAACGTTCCTTGGAAAACATGTTAAGAGAATTCTACTGTACTGACAATTGTCATAAATATGTTTTATACCACAAATAATGAAGTAAAAAAAAAACATTACTTACAAAGGGTTATCATCTTTCTACCCTTCCTAATATCTGAAAGTTTTGTATGACTGAATGGTCTAAAATATTTCACTTTCAGTTAAATGCAAATGAAGTTATAAAATTGTAAAATTTAAAGCTTTCATCACAAGCTACTGTGATCAATAAATAACACTATATGAATCAAAAGAACCAACCCTTTTGAACCATGTTACTTTTCATCAAATCTCATTCCAGAATGTATAAATGGAATATAAAACATAGTTGGTGAGTGTAAATACTGATACACATAATTCATACACCCTTTTTTCAGGTAAACTTTTTACTTAGACTAAAACTTTCTCAAATAATGTCTGCACCTATTTTTAGCAAGTAAGAGCTTTCATCGCCATTATCACCTATTAATGTAATACACTATGCAACCGCCCTTCCGCTGACTGTTTTTCTTCTCACTCTGGTTGCCCCGGGATCAAACCCAGTAGCGTGCCCGGTTTGCTTGCGGT